GGCGCTGCCCCCTTGCCCGCGGCGCGGTCCAGCAGCCTCGCCCCTATGCGGAGGCTCCAGCAGCACCGAGGCGATGCCCATTCATTCAGCTTGTCCCCCGCAGCCCTCCCCTTCCGCCCCGCACTCCCAGCCTCCTGGATGGAGGTGGCTAGTGATGCTGCAGCGGTACCCAGAGCCCCCGGAGAGTACAGTGCGGAGAGGAGGGAGGGAGAGGAGGAGGAAGGAGAGCAGAAGGAGGGAAGAGGAAAGAGAGAGAGACAGAAACAGAGATAGAGATGGCTGCCCCCAAAACCTGAGCTGGATCTAGAGAAGACTCTAGGATTTCCACAAGGAAATTAGGGCAGGGAGCAGAGCTGGGCCAGCATAGCCCCCCCGCAGCTAGCCGAGAATAGCACCCCAGCACAGCATGAAGGGCTACTGGCAGTGAAGGTAGCAAGTGCAAGCAAAAGGGGAAGAGGAATATAGGCAGTGGACAAGACCTGTGCAGGGCTAGACCAGTGTCAGGGCTTCCCTGCAGAACTGAAATGTCCTCCTCTTAGACAGGGCTGACATTGATTGGGAGTGACCAGCCACCCCAGCCAGGAGCTTGGCTTTAAAGACATGTGAAGCTCAGAGGCACTGTTTTGCCCATGTTGCCAGCCGGGTACACTAACAGCTGAAGGGAAAGGATTCTTGGCCTTGCATCTGCCCTTGCAGCCTCCCAGCTTTGCCATCTTCTGCTAGGGCTTATCCACCCTAGTACAGAGCCAGGAGCCCCTCATAGGTCACGAGGGTCTGCATTTCTGGAGTCCCAGAGCAATGTCCTGCATACTACATCAAAGTTTCTCAGTCTTTTCTAATCTGTGGCCTGCTTAACCTCCTGGAAAATAATCCACTGACCATCTGCCACAATGGTTTTCATTTACAACCTCACACAAATTAGGCTCAGCTGCTCACTTATTTCTTCTCTTTCACCAGTGGCTTTGTTCACTCCTTTGCATGTGTGTCTTTCTAGGTATAAGCTTGCCATGAGGCTGGGAGTGACCTTGTCAGGCCTGTCAGCTGGCAGTGGGCTCCAGGTAAGAACCCCTGCTCCCCACACTTTCTCTGGTCTTCTTTACAGGTGTGCTTTGCACATAACAAGATGGGACATGTTCTCCCTTCCCAGCCTGCCTGTTACCAATATAGCCCTTGCCTCTAGTGACTGTGGTGGGATCTGTTTGGGAGAATGACACCCCAAGCCTGTGTAGTCCCTCTATTCAGATGACCCTTTGAGATGTATGCTCATATGTTCGTGCCTGTCATCCTAAACTCT